GCTCCTAAGCTTTAGGAGTGGAGGAGATGGTCAGCAGCCAGCCCCAGTCCGCCTTCTCGGTGCCGTTTGTCATGTTCGCCATGAGAGGTGTCTCATGGGAGCTGTTACTTGCCTTTGATCTTATTTTTGTCCCTTCAGGTATGTAAGAAATCCTTTTTTTGAGGTTAGGGGACCAGAACCGCACATACCAATGAAGTGTGGGCAGACAGGCAAGGGGTGGATTTGCTGAGTGACACGTTTGCTCTGTACTACGTCCCCAGTAATTCTGGGAATTGCTTTACTCTTTTGGCTTACCCCAAACGCTGTGCTGATGCTTTAATGAAGCTGTGAATCGAAACACTAAAGTCTCGCTGAGCAGTTAGTTCAGAGCATGTTTTTATACAAAGCTGAGGCTGCTCTTCCCCAGGAGGCAGACACCTACATCTGATTTTACTCGCTGGTTTCATTTAGTCTCGTGTCTGATTCCACGCAGTGTCCTCTTAACCTTTAGTATCCTAAGTAACCCTAGCATCAGCAAACTTCCATCTCCTTGGAAATGGAGCCTCAAATCCGGCTTGAGCAGTAAAAGACACGCACTGCTTGCTCTGGGCTGGTGGAATCCAGCGGTTAAAGGAGATTGGTTTTGGAAACGTTGAGCAAGAGGCATCGCTGCGGCGTGTGTGTGTGTGTGCAGCTTGCAGGCTGACTTGGAGCTGGGGACCTTATGAATGCAGCAAACTCTGCCTCGTGGTGCGTAGCTTATTTCGTGGTCCAGGCATTGAATTGCTGGCAATTGTGCTTTCTTGCCTGAGGAGACTTGAAGAAATTCTGAATCTGTATTTTACAGGAGGCTGAAAGGTTTATGGTGCATAATCTTTTCTTCACGTTTCTGCCTTTTGGGACTGTGGAAGTGGCCTAAAAATGTCATTCCCTAATTATTTGGGCAAAAGTTGTCAGCCTAAATACATCAAAACCAAAGAATTTGTACAAATAGAGAGTGAATATCCTGAGCGCACTACTCTTGGGTTTGCAGAGACATATTTTCCTCTATGTTTTGGATATCTGTTTTCTTAATTTTTTCCAAAAAGGCTTGTTGTCCTCAAACCTTTGGATCATTTGTCTGTAGTTTTATGCAATTCTGGAAGGAGATTCTGAGATTATTTGACTTATTATTATTTCTCAGTAAACCAGAATTTTTTAATAGATAAAACTGCTTGATGCCTTTTGATGAAGCATTTTCAGTGAGTGGCAAGAGGCTGGTGCTGCTTAATGCTCTCTCACCTTACAGGCACAGGAAACTTATTTTTCTGTTGTAATTAAGCCTTATCTTTGTGACAGCGAGATTTGCATAAATAAGCTTATTAAATAATGGATGAGGTTGAAATGATCCCAAGGAAGAAATCACCCCTGCCACCACCTCCAGCGCTGGGGTTGCTGAAAACCCCGGGCGTGCGTAAGAGTAACCCCGACAGCGTGTGGCGTCGCCGGGGAGGCTGCCTCAGATCAGCTTACAGGGAAGAGCAGAGCCGTGCCATTGGGCAAAACACTTTCAAATTATTATTTATGGGGCCGTGCTGCTGTGGGTATAAAACATAGGGCTGCTTTCCCGTGCCTCACCAGAGCGATGGGAGCACGCTCCTGAGCCAGCCAGGCTGCCGTTCGCCCTGCGATGTGTGCTGTGGAGAGAGAGACCTCCGGGAAAGGATACAGGTTAGAGGCAACGGTTACACTGCAGCTCAGGAATGCAGTCTTTCTATCTGATAGTTTGGGCTTGTTTTGGCTCTTTTCCAGCCTGATTAATTCTGTAATCGGTATTGTAATGGCAGCGTTAATCAAATGTGTCACAGAAACGTCTCGTGTCTGCTGACGGATCGGCGTTTCGCTTAGCGGTGCGGTGAGGTGCGCTCCCCCAAGTCTCAGGACTCCCGTGGAGATGCAGGTCTTAATGCCACTGCAGCTTTCTAGTCTTAAACTTCTCCTATGTTCTTGTTTTCTGGGTGGTGGTGGTTGTGTGTTTGTTTTTTAGGGGTGGGAGGGTGTGTGTGTAAAGGCAAAGGAAGTCTCTCCTCTCTCCCTAGGGCATGTTACAAGCTACGGGTCTGTATGCAGTACTGGCTCTTTAAAACAACAGCAAAATAATGTTTTAGCTCTGATCTGAATTATTAGCGTTGTGTGGTAATCTTCAGAAAATTTGAGTTGGCTAGTGAGCATTTTATTTCTTATTTTAAATGTAGTGTTGGGCAGAGACAACTGCTCTGTGCTGACAGCCAAATCTGCTGCTGGTTCTTAATGCTGCACTTTCCAAAGAATGCTTTCTTCTTTAGGGAGCGTGAAGGCAGTCTTCATCTGCAATGCTGCTTAGGGCTTTTGAGAAACAGGGGTGAAGTAGGGCTTACCTTCCTTGACAATTCCAGAATATTGGTGTCTTCTGCTTTCAGTGCTGAAACCCTGACCTTTTTTTCCTTCCTGGAGAAGGTGGGATGGGAGAAGTTTGCACCTAGGAGGTCACACGCTGCACTTAGAAGCCTGAGTTAGCAAACGCTTTTAGAATCTGTCATGCTAATTGATGCCTTGTCCCTGTTTCAGGATGAGGGTCTGGACTCACTTCAGTCTTTTTTACAGTTATTGAACTATAATTACAAAGTCATCTTTCAGTAAGAAAGTAACTATAGGGGCTCAGTTCCCTGGCAGAAACACAGGGGCAGTGGTACTGACCCTCCTTGTCCTCTAGTGTCTTCCAAGTTTGAGTTTCAGTGATCACAAGAAGTCTTTCCAGTGTCAGAGTTTGGGATATTTAATGGCTATGTTAATACTGTGGTGAAACATTAGGATTACGCTTAGTTACTTTGTTCAGTTTCACATATTTAAATCACTTTGCTCTGGGTGACACCACTAGGTGCTGGGAGTGAAACCACTGGATGCCACTGACCTGGTGGGTCGCATCCCTGCCCGGGGCAGGTCCCTTCCAGCCCAGGCTGCTCTGTGACCCATCTGAGTGTCCCCCCTGCTGTAGCACTGCTCTGCCAGCTCTCAGAGCTGCCTGAAAGCGAGGGCTCTGATTTCCTGCCTCTGTGCAGGTTTTTTTCTTTGAAGTAACTTCTTTATTTTTTTTTTAAAGTGCAGTCAGCTTTGCAACAAACTGCACTGACTTTTTTTTTCAGTTATTTCTCAAGTGTGCTATGGGCAACTTATTATTTTGTTAATGTAGTCTGTAGAGCATTAAAGCTATCCCCCATTGTTAGTGATGGTGCCAGTTTTACTGAGCTCACCATTCTCTTTGGTCTTTCCAGTTCTAATTCTCAGTTGAATAAGATCAAAAGCACATGTAGGTTTTTGACTCTTAAACGTGAAAAAGGCAAGAAATGCAAGTGCAACTTCCATTTGTAATGCAACTTACCTATAAATATTAGCTTCTGCAGAAATACTTGTGTATAGCGGTGCTTTTTTTTGAGTGTCTCATTTCCATTAATCTGTGTTATTTAATCTTCTGCGAAGGCGTGCTGGTTACCAGTAGCAGGATGGCAGGACTGGTGCATTTTTGACATTCTGATGATGAAATTACAGCAGCAGACAAAGTCTTCTGTGTCGGTTCATGCCAGCTTTCAGAGCTAAAGGGAGTCTGGAAGCTATAAACAAATATTTTCAGTGCCTTAAAATGAGACTTCTTGTTGCGCTAGTGGCATGTAGGGGTCTGAAGACACAAAGCTGGAGTTTTACTGACTTTGAGAAAAGTCAGGCTTTAAATATGCTTGTGTGCAGCTGAGGTGGTGCTGGGGAGGGAGGAGTGTGTGCGGTGTAATTATCTTAGCATAATGAATTAGTCCTGATCACCGCGTTTGTGGAGCACTTCTCCTGCACTCAGTCATCAGGCTGGTTTTCATGCCTTCAAAATACTTCACTTTTTAAGAGATGGAAAGAGCTAGATGTGTTTTGTGTTTCTAATCAGCCACAGCATATGGGGCTCAGAGAAACTGGATCACTTGCTTCCATTCAGGGTCTGTCAGACTGCAAGGGGAGTGGAAGTTTCCTCTCTTAATCTTCCATCCTCTGCCTTCTGATTGCGGGGAGATGAAGGCAGGTGCCAGCTGTCCCACTCTTGCAAGAGGGAAGAAGAGCCCGATGTGGCCAGTCCTTTAGGTAGTTTGTGCTTCAAGCTATGGCTGCCAGATCCTCTGCCCTTCTTTCGGCTGCCTTCCGGAGCTAGCAGTTCGTGGGACAACTGCCCTGTTTGTGTCTGCTGCAGCTGCTCCAAGTTTGTGTAAAGTCAGCTTTGGTTTTGGTGCTTCAGTTTATTTCGTCATGGCTGGAATGCCGGCATTGACAGTTGTCTGCTGCTGCACAACACTTGAAGGCAAAGGGGAAAGGCACGCAAGTGTCCTGACTGCAGGCTATGCTGGGTTCCTTCTGGTTTCTTCTCGGAGATAGTCCTCATAATCGTCTGAATAGTCTTGAATTCAAAATTTAATACAGATGAACTCCCATGTGTTTATTAACATGAGTTCTCATACGAACTGATTTCAGGGAATCTGAGTTTTTCATCTTCTAATTTTTATGTAACACCTTACTCTGCAACTGCTGGTACTCTCTGAGTACTTCAGTTATCAAGCTGCTGGTAATCTTTCCTCAGATCCAGTGTTGTTGGTAGTCAGTCTGTTGCCTGAATGCTCCCACGGTATTTTCTTTCCCACAGTCAGAAATAAGAAACATTGCAGCCCTAATAAGCCTTTCTTTTGCTAGCTAACGAGCGAACTTAGTAACATGGGTCACTTATAAAATATCCTTGGTTCAGTGCCATTTGTGGAAGGAGAACTGGAAAAAAATGAAATTTCAAAAAAGATCCTTTTTTAAAAAGGCAAAAACGGCACAGCAACAATAAATAAATAAATAAAAAAGTTGGTCAGTCACATATATATGCTGTTTAGTTCTAGTTTGTGGCCCTTGATGCTATTCTGAACTTAGTGTTATAAAACGATGTTGCATTTTGTATGTGTTTTATATTTAACACTTCTTTCTGTTTGCAGATTTGTTTGTAAATGCATCATAAACAGACAGCCCAGAATGAAGAAAGCAAGCAGGAGTGTTGGCTCAGTGCCCAAAGTGCCTGGAGTAAATAAAACTCAAACAACTGAAAAAAACAAACCAGAGAACGGCTCCTCACTGTCTGCAGTAACAAAACTCTCCAAAACCGGGACATCAGCTTCCCTTTTGAAGGTAACAACTAATAGAACAATCTGATAATTTGTAGTTTTGATGATAAAAAGTTAAGAGTAGAATTTTAAGGCACGTCTTTAGTGCAACTTAGGCTAGAGATTTGTTACACAGATAACTGGAGGGAATTTGGCTAGCTACACAGCACTGGGCAGGGTAATAGGATCTTGTGTGGCGTTGGTGCTGTATTTTTCACATTGCAATGTGTGATACAATGATGGAAAGCAATGTACTTTGCAGAACTTAGTAGTTCTGCAAAAGGAGCAGAGTGGAAGTTGCATCCAGATGAGTGTTATTAGTGGTGTCACGCATTATGCTTGAATAGTGTGTCAGCGACTAATGGGATTTGATAAGAGCTATGTACTAATTCTGAAAAAAGAACTAATGAGGTATTTAACATGAGAAACTTCTTGACTTCGGTGATCCGTGTCAGGTCAGCGCAGCTGCATTCTTCTAGCTGTTTTGGGCTTTCTTTGTGTGAAGTATTGCTTGGGCTCAATTTGCACAAGTTGGTTCTTGCTCCTAGAACAGGTTCAAAGGTAGGGGTTTTCTCTTGTATTACCAAAACAGGGCAGTGGATTTAGGAGCATATGGATTTCAACAACCAAATAAAATAAGACATACCAAGATGTGCTTTTTTATTTTTATTTATTTATTTTTATTGTTGTTTTTTTAAATGGGAGCACACTCTGCTGGGTTGGATGATGTTATGAGCCTGCCTGGTAGGGAAACGTGACTGAACTCACCTCTTCCTGATGTTCTGCAGCCCAGTGCACAGAGCTGTGGCAGTTCTGCTGCCCTGGAGCAAGAGAACAGGACGAGCAGAAGGGCTGCTGTCTGCAGCTGGGGCCGGAGCCTCCGTCAGCTACAGGAAGGCAGATAGGCTATTTAAATAACTGGCAAGACCTAGAATTAAAGAAGTGGTAATAGTTGAGGTCTCTCTGTAATAGCTATGCAGAGTTACCAAAGTCAAAAGGTGTGTCCCTTTCTTACAGTCTTGCTGCTCTGTTATGGTTAATGGTGGTTAATATTGCTGCTGATGAACTTGCAAGCCAGGTTTTGGCTAGATTTTTCTCCCTGAGTCCCTCTTCTGCCCCTGCTATCCAATTTTGCTTAACTTGAATACATCTTTTGATGGTTGTTGATGCTACTCATTTTGCATTTCTAGAAACCTCACAAAGAATACGGAAGCAAAGATACTTTGTAGTGTACTTATCGATTTTTTTATGTGATACCTCTCGGTGAGGTAAAGGAGGAGGATGATCTAACACTACAGAAATTTGACCCAGTATGCTTTCACAATTTCACTTCTTATATTAGTAACACTTCTGGCAATGCTTGGATGTTGGATTAGAATTTATGACTATTGTATGTTTGAGGTACAATAAAACATTTTCCCGTAATTACTAAGACTTATCTCTGCTTTGTGTTACAGCCAGGCTTACTCATACAGTTGGATGTCTTTTACTTGTCAAGCTGCTGTTGTGCCAGCTGTGTGACTTAATGACGACTTTATCTCCTTTGAGCGTTCCGTACTTACACAACAAAGTTAATTGCTTATGTTTTGGGGCTTATAGATACTGTCAAATCACATGTATAATTCCTGGCTTGAAAGAAATGTCAATAACCAGTTGTATTATTTTTAAAATCATTTTTTGCGTAGTTCAATATTTGATCTTGTCAATGAAGCTTTTGGCATACTGTTTTCCTTACAGAAGCTTTTAGGATCTTCTCTTAGACATGATGAGTTAGTGTGTGTTTTATAAATTCCATTTAATATCCTGGGGAGGGGGGAGAAGCATGGCTGGCAGTAGATAATTAGTAACTTAATTCAGTCCTCAGAGTAAGCGTGCATAGAGATGCACAAAAACTGGTTATTGAATGAAAGGCAGCTGTAGCTGTTAAGAAATAGAAATAGATGGGTACAATACTATCCCAACCTTCAATTCAGTCAGTAATAATGCTGTGCAATCGAAAATGACTTTGTAATTACAGTATGTTTTTTTTTTCCTGTCTCCTTCATGATTCATCCGTAGGCAGGTGTTTAGCTGTGGGGGGACCTTTTAGCTTTGAGTTGTTCCACAGATTTGTCCTTTTCTGGGGAGTTTCCAGAGTATGTGGACAGTGTGTACAGGAAGAAAGTGTGAGACCTACCCTTCTGTACAGCTGAATGCTATTCCAGGGGTTGGTCTGTCTGCTTTGCAATGCTTGTATATGTATTAATGCCTGGTTATATATCAAGGAACTATTTCAGAAGCTTGTTGCAGTCAGTCTTGGTTTGCCTAAGACTTTGGTAGATGTTCAGCACCTCTTCACCTCCCCACACATGCCATTACAGCAGAAGGTTAACTGCCAGTCATTTCTAGTTTTAATCTGTCAGAAAACATTTTGGGCAAATACCAATGTGTTCTTACTTTTAAGATCAGTATTTTTAGGCTTTTTTAGCTAATGAGCTTGTGATCATGCTAATACAACTAATTAGACAGCCACTGTACTTTATGCAAATGAACTGCAAAATCCAGTGTCCCTGAGGAGTCAGGGTTTGGACACTGACATTTGAATATTAAAAATTAGAATGTGTTTTCAGTATTCCTCTGTCTAGGCTTCAGTATTCTATTTGAAAAATGCAGCAACTTAATTACAGATTGTTGTGAAGTTTACTGTTTGAAGCCCTCAAATACAGCGACAGTGAGCATCAAAGAAAATCCCACGTAGGAGCATTTATATACATATACATGTATATATGGGATTTGAATGAGGTGCAGTAAATAGCATATACATGTTGAGAAACTAACATCAAATGAATTAATAGAGGTGACCATTCAAGTTTCATTGTATTAAAATAATAAAGTTGTGGGGAAACATGGTATATAAATTTTATAATTATAAGGGATTTATTTTTACACAGAAAATCAGCATAGGTCTAGATGAGCACTTCTAATTATAGCTTCTGATTTTTTAGATTTTTAAAGAAGGGTTTTTATTGCTCAGTGGGATTGCAATGTTTTCCGTAAATGGGAGAAGTTGTTCTTCATCGAGAATAAACTATTTGATAAACATGTGACATTGATTTCCGTTCCAGTAAAAATACTATAAAAATACTTTGGTTTTTAAAGTCAAGCACAGTTGCTCTTATGAGCGTACAGAAGAGAGCTGCTGGTTTGTAAGTTTTCCAGAGCTTTGCTAAAGAGTTTTCTCTGCCAAGAGTGTAGTGTTACAGGTTTGAGAAACTGTTTACTAACTGGCTGCGGAGGAGGCTGTGCCTTCCAACCTAGACTAGAAATGGGGTATGTGTAAGGCAGAATAAGAAGGGTTGTCTTAAAGCCGTTTGCTCAGCAAGGACTGGAGGTGACTAATGTCACAAAGTGTGTGTTTTATGTACTGTTTTCTTTCTTCAAGCTGAGTCACATCTTGACCTATTTGGCTTGATAACGTGTACTTGTACTATAAGTGTCTAATGCCTTAATCTAATTTCCCCACTGTTTTAACAAGGTAAAAAGTCTGACAGCTCATCACCTGAACTCTCTTGTTTGCCAACTGATGTCAGAGTCAGTAGCGAATTAGAAAAGGCACCGATCTATGTCTTCTGTAATGTGCTGTTCCAGGTGACAGTTGCATCAGAAAATGGTTTTCTTCCTGTCCCCACGCCCAGAAAATGAAGTTTAGATTAGATACGTCTGATTGGATTACAGGTTACGGGATTGCCAGCTGGTGAGTTTGTTTGCTCCCCCCTGTTGCCCGCAGAGCTTTCCGACCTGGTAGCCCTGCCTGCAGCTCCATCCTCCTGACCTCGAGCTGCCAGTCTGCAGGCTGCAAGCTCGTGGATCAGGCAGCGATTGGGCTCCTGGGAGGAGGGAGCCCTTTGGAAAGGCTTTGGCTTACACAGCGCCGTGTGGCAGTGTGAGGAGACGAGCAGAATGGCACAACAGTGGCTCTTTTGTAGCAGAAAGGCATTTTAAATGCACATCAAAATACAGTTTTGGAGTGATAGGTTTTCCTCCAGCCTTTCATGATCCACTTCAGAGGGCTGTACCGCGTCCTACATGATTTAATAAAAACACCTTTGTCCTAGCAGATTTTACCCTTACTGATACCTGCTTCTGCCTGATGATTATCTGTATTTCTAATGACTGCATGCAGAACAAATACATTATCTTCCCAAGCTCCCTTTTGTTTTGCAGCTGCTCATTGTAAATGGCACAGATCCCATCCACGACCTTTGCACATCGCTGTTATCAATGTTGCTAACTGTTCTCAAATCCCCAGCTGTAACTCAGCTGTAAAAAGCTATAGAATGGTGAGAGAGGCAACAGTGGTTTTAACCGTGTAACTTCTTTGTTAATGTATAAAATCATGTCTGGCATATAGTCTTTAACTTCTAGCTTACATACATATTTATATTACAAGCCTGCAGAATTTGTAAGCCATTATGTAAAGCAACTGGTTAGGTCCTGAGCACTACTTTTTAGTTGGGCTCCGAGACTTCAAATGTTTTATCCAGCTGAATAATGCAGTCACTCAGGGAATACTTCTAACACAGATGTTTTCTTTTAACTTTTTTGTCCTTATAATGGGAATAATGTTTAGCATATTTTGATTGTTTCTCCACTTAACAAATTGCATTTTAAAGATTGGTACAGTCTGCCAATTCATACTTAGGAACTTAGAGTTTTTAGTTTGCTTTTCAGTGAAAGATGCGTTTGCTGTTTGGCAATCTGGCTCTTGAGGTCCCTTTGCTTACTCTTGTCACATTCCAGGCAGCATTTGTGGCTAACAGTAGTTTCAGGAATGATGTTGGGAGGTCAGACAAAAAGTTCATCAACCAAACATCCTGTCTCTAAGAGTGCCTAGTAAGGAGCATGAAAACAAGGCAAAGGATATGTGGTGAGGGCGGCCCTTCCCGTCCCGTCCTGTTTCTGGTGGTTTGTAGGTTAGCATTTTGAGCTAAAAATGGTATTTTATTCATCTTGGATTGGTTTCTGTTGTTTGGTTTGTTTTTTGTTGTGAACTTGTCCACCAGAAGATGCTTGATCATATTCTCTTGAAGGACATTATGGTTACTTCCTGGTATTTGCTGGTTTAATTGCGTAAAAATGGTGTTCATTTTTATAGTTAAGGAACCTTTCAGTTGAAATTCAGAAGTGTTAGACTGTGTTATTACTGTGATTTCATTATTGTTTTTTTCACCTTGGTATTAAAACATTAATCATTCCTTCTGTCTGGGAGAGGGGAGGCAGTTTCTATGGTCAATCACATGTAAGTAGCTGAAGTTAAATTTCAGCTCCCCTCCTGTGCACTGTGCAGTGTATCTACACTTCACCATACTTGACTAGACACAGGACTAGTCAAATATGTACTTGTTAAACTTATGGAATCTTTACCAGGAGAAATGTTGGCTATGCAGACTTCTCTGCCAGCTGTCTTAAAGCCACATCTTGCCTTTCTTTCAGACTAAGAGTAATGATGACCTCTTAGCAGGGATGGCTGGTGGCGGTGGAGTGACAATGACCAATGGTGTCAAGGCAAAGAAGAGCACTTGTGTATCAACAGTGTCTTCAGCTGCAGGGACAACCATGAACAGTCTGGAAAATAAGCCTAAAACAGTTGCAGGTAAATGGATATATTGATCCTTAAAGACAGTAGTTGGGGGCATTTTTATTTTCCTGCTGTGTAGTGTGGATCCAGATTGCCTTATGAAGTAGTTGGTAAAGCTGTGGTCAAATCAAATACCTTCTCTGCTTTGGCTTTGATCCTCTTTTTTCCTGTTTTGTAATATTGTAATTGCCTCTTTGGAGGCTGCTTTTAATTTTTTTAGTGCTGATTATGTAACAACTATATAATACTAGGTAATGTAATTAATCTAAAGAATTATAGTTTAATTTGTGTAAAAAAAAAATCCATGGCACAAGCGTTAGAATTTGAAGATATGATTGTTTGTTACAGTCAATGTTTTGAACATTCTTTATTGTATTATAAAAATAGAGATCTTTGATAAACTGTTCAGAAATGTGCAGTTATTTAGTATGTTACCAGTTACCGATGGAAATATGTCTTGCTTTCTTTTGCTGTGTTTTGAATTCAGTAATGCTTGCAAAGCTATAAATCATCTGGTAATAAAGTAACAATAATTCATCCTTGTCTGTCATCCTTGTCACAAAAAAAGTCATTTAATTTGGGGAATCACAGTACACAATTCATCTCTTAAAAGCTTGCATTCAAATCTACTGAAAACAGAAAAAATTGAACTTTCAGGAATAGCACTGCTGTATTTTTTGTACAATTTGTCAGAAACTTTTGAAAACAAAAAGCCTAGCAACTCTTAACAGTTAAACTAAGATCTGACTCATTTTCAAAATAATGGTAAAATACAGCAACTGGAAAAGCATGCTGTCAATTAAAAGATAACTCTATTGATTCATAAGTAAGATTATTTAAATGTTAACTGTAAATTTATTTTATGGAGTGTGTTTGCCAGCATGATTTAAAAAAACAGCCACTGTAGAGCTGGTACAAAATACACAAGTCTTATGTTACAGTGCTGCATTTTAAATAAATGTTCCTAACTTTCAAAAAATATACAGGTACAAGTTCCACAACTAAGCGTAGCACTTCATCTGGAAATAAAGAATCAAGTTCTTCTAGAGAGAGAATACGTGATCGTTCCCGTTTAAGCCAGAGTAAAAAACTACCTTTGACTGGACAGGGGACCAATGATACGGTACTGGCAAAACGTTCCCGTAGTCGCACCAATCCAGAATCGGATATTCGAATGAGTAAGTCCAAATCAGACAATCAAATCAGTGACAAAGCTGCATTGGAAGCAAAGGTGAATGATCTTCTGACGTTAGCAAAAACTAAAGATGTGGAAATCTTGCACCTGAGGAATGAACTAAGGGACATGCGTGCCCAACTGGGACTTAATGAAGATCAAGTTGAAGGTGATGAAAAATCTGAAGAAAAAGAGGCCATTGTTGTCCATCAGCCAACTGATGTGGAGTCTACGTTGCTACAGTTACAGGAACAAAACACTGCCATCCGAGAAGAGCTCAACCAGCTGAAGAATGAGAATCGAATGTTAAAAGACAGACTGAATGCATTAGGCTTTTCTTTGGAACAAAGGCTGGACAACTCTGAGAAACTCTTTGGCTATCAGTCTTTGAGTCCTGAGATTACAGCTGGCAACCACAGTGATGGCGGTGGCACTCTGACGTCTTCAGTGGAAGGTTCTGCCCCTGGATCAATGGAAGACCTGTTGAGTCAGGATGAAAACACTTTGATGGACAATCAACATAGTAACTCCATGGATAATTTAGACAGTGAGTGCAGTGAAGTTTATCAGCCACTGACATCAAGCGATGATGCCTTAGATGCTCCATCATCTTCGGAGTCAGAAGGTGTACCAAGCATAGAAAGATCTAGGAAAGGAAGCAGTGGCAATGCGAGTGAAGTGTCTGTAGCTTGTCTGACAGAACGGATACATCAGATGGAAGAGAACCAACACAGTACAGCTGAAGAGCTCCAAGCCACGCTTCAAGAGCTTGCAGATTTGCAACAAATAACACAAGAGCTAAACAGTGAGAATGAAAGACTGGGAGAGGAAAAAGTAATCCTCATGGAATCTTTGTGCCAGCAAAGCGACAAGTTAGAACACTTCAGCCGTCAGATTGAGTATTTTCGGTCCCTTTTAGATGAACACCATATTTCATATGTAATCGATGAAGATATGAAAAGCGGTCGCTACATGGAGTTAGAGCAGCGTTACATGGACCTTGCAGAGAACGCGCGCTTTGAGCGAGAGCAGCTGCTAGGTGTTCAGCAACACTTGAGCAACACGTTGAAGATGGCAGAACAAGACAACAAGGAGGCCCAAGAAATGATAGGGGCATTAAAAGAACGAAATCACCACATGGAACGGATCATTGAGTCAGAGCAGAAAAGCAAAACAGCAATAGCATCTACCTTAGAGGAGTACAAAGCCACAGTAGCCAGTGACCAGATTGAGATGAACAGGCTGAAAGCTCAGTTAGAGCATGAAAAGCAGAAAGTGGCTGAGCTATATTCTATACACAACTCTGGAGATAAATCAGATATACAAGATTTGCTGGAGAGTGTCAGGCTGGATAAAGAAAAAGCAGAGACATTGGCCAGCAGCCTGCAAGAAGAGCTGGCACACACTCGCAATGATGCCAACCGGTTGCAAGATGCCATTGCTAAGGTATGGTTTACATCCTGTGTTTTAACATCACCCGTATATCATGACTCTTAGTGTTGAACATTGTAGTTCCTTCAGAAGTAAAGGATTAGTGACAAGGTTAATCAGATTATGGTATGGTTAGGATTAGTGACTTCCTTAACTTTTATTATAAAAATGCTGTAGGCTTTTTTTTAAAAAACAAAACAAAAACAGGTGCACTGTTGCATTCAGCCGCAGCATAACTGCTTGGTTACTTTTTAAAATACCTGTATTTAAACACCAATACTTATGTCCAGGGTCAAACTTGTATGTTATCTTAAATACTGCTTGAATTTTGTGCTTAAATCATATGCATTTTGCAAGAGTTTCAAGGAGTTGGTGCCAAAGTGGTGGATATCACTGAGAGGGTGCCTGGAGTAAAGCTTTGAGGTGATAACCCAGCTATTGATGACTTGCAGAGCCTTTCACCAGTGTAGAGAGAATATTTTAATGTTTCAGCTTATTCAGGTTGGTTCAATTAACTTAGAATAAACTAAGGCAGAGAAGTGTTGTCTAATGGAGAAATGACAAATTGAGGGAGAAAATTACATTCGGTGAAATACCTTAATTTACTAAATAAAGGTTTTAGTTTTAATTGGAGAAAAAAAAAAAAACATACATTTTTAACTGATCCTTAAGTATGGCAAATATATAAAGGTTTTTGATAATCATCCGTCCAGGAACAGCTTGTGTGTTAATTGTGTTCTGGATGAAAATGTTTGAGTTCTAGAGCAGCTATTTGGATTTAAATGAAACTCATTTTATCTAGCAAATGTATTTCTTATGCATTTGAAGGTGTATCTTCCTGATGAGAAAGTTTGTTTAATGTCTGAGCTTTGTGTTAGTTGCAGATCAACATGTTACTCAAGATGATCAACAGCTAGTTAGAATCAACCTTAATTTGAGATTTAAAAAAAATAAAATAAAATTTTAATAATTAAACTTGGGTAGTGCTATTAAAATAAACACCCAAGCAGGTGATTTAAAGTAGGGCATTTTGTGGATTAAAATTGCTGCCTGTGTTGACCTGCCCAAAGGCATGACCCTAATTTTTGCTGTTGGGCATGGGAGTGAATGTTAGAGACTCTGATCTCAGCTTGTTATTTTAAGTTGTAGTTTCATGAGGCAGGGTAAAACGGTCTTGCTGCTTCTGAAAAGAGGTCTACTACCTTTCCTTGTGTGTTGTTTTTTTGGTTTTTAATTAAGCAGATCAGTGGCTTCTAACACTCCTCTTGGAAGTACTTCAACTCACACATACACATGAATGTGAAACTTGCTAGTAGGTTAATAAAACGAATCCTTGCTCAGATCCAACAAGCACTAAAACTGATGCACAAAAGAGTGGACTTCTTATGGTTGCAAAAAAAATCAATCTAAGTATGCCAGTTACAAAATTCAGTGTGTTTTAAAATGCAATCTATTTAGTTATGACACATGGTATTTCTTTTTCAGGTCGAAGATGAATACAGAGTGTTCCAAGAAGAAGCCAAAAAACAAATTGAGGATCTTAATGTGACTCTAGAAAAACTTCGGACAGAACTAGATGAAAAAGAGACTGAGAGAAGTGACATGAAAGAAACCATCTTTGAGTTGGAGGACGAAGTAGAGCAGCATCGTGCTGTGAAGCTTCATGACAATCTCATCATATCTGATTTAGAGAGTAAGTGTTACGAGTTCTTCTCGTGAGAGAAATGAGAATTTAAGAACCAATGAAACAGAACGCTGAAATAGTGAAAATATTCTCACTTGTATTTTGTATGTCTGAATTCAAGTCAGACAGGGCTTTACAGAGCCCTTATAATGCTAGAAAAAAAAAATCAAGTTGGCTTTGCTTCTTCAGTCCTAGTAGTAGTTGGTGTGGGAACAAAAATCTGTGAAATGAGAAGAAACATGTAATCTGACAATGCTGTTTTCAAGGTATTTTTCAAAGTAGGAGAACGTGTAATTACATGTTTAATAATATGTTTAATAATAGTGTACTAGTTGTGTGTTTTGGAGACTAGATGATTGATTTACTTTCTTTAAGAATGCTCTCTTTTTCACGTGCCCAAATATCAGGATTACCAGGTAGCTTGAGAATGTTTAAAACTGATTTCTCCCACCTGAAGAAAGACCTTTTTAGTTGAGAAATGGATAAATAGAAGTCCTGAAATTTGGAAATATCAGAGCTGACTTGACAGTAGGGATGTATTGTGCATCTTTTCCTGCATAGGTTTGCTCAAGTCATGAAATTGATCTGTGAGCATAAAAATTAATCTAACAAACTTCAAGCAAGTCAAAGTAAGACATTACCTGTTGACTCACTGGAGAAGAAACTGTTGGAGCCTGTAATGAAATTCATGTTTACTGTATACTTGTCTATCTGTCTGTGCCTTAGTTCCCTCTCTGATCTGAGACCTGTTCAGACATTCCTACCACAGGCTGGAATTCTGCAATTAGTCTCCATCTAAACAAGAACTTGGGCAACTGTACCCTGTGGGAGCTGTATTTGCACAATACTACTTACAGGGTTCAAATACGTGCTATGCTAAATAAGACAGTGAAAAAAACAAAGCATTATTAATTTTCACAGTGAGTGAAATGTTCATAGAAAGTATTTTAAATTTGTCTGCTATCAAAGAAAAGTTGGTGTTTAAAGCAAGCTAAACTGATTATTCATCTGAAGACCAATGTCTTCAGACATGTGGCTGTCAGCTTTGTTTCCCCAAGCAATACTTCCTTATCTTGAAAGACGATCACTGTTTCTCTTTACAAAATTGATGTAGGTTTTTATTCTGCTCTTCTTGCCTCCCTTTTTTTGCCAACACGAAAGCAAGGTCCTTTTTGGGAGCCAGATCTGAGGCATATGGTCAACAGCTCTGACATTGGTCCTGAAGTAATTTTGTAGCAAACACTTAAAGATGGAACACTTGTTTTTTTTTTTCTACTTGCTTTTTTTTTTTTTTTGTCTTAACTGAAATACATTCATACAGGAAACAGCACCACAGTCAAGTAAACATTTAGGTGTTTACTCATTAATACCTAATTACAAGGCAGCTCTAATTTTTAGATGCTTTTGCCTTGGGGATAGGACAAATGGTTATGACAGATGTCTTGTAGGAATGTTTCTGCAGTCTCACAAAATAGCTGTCAGATATTTCCCTTAAAAGGGTAAAAAATCTGGTGGAAGAACTTCTATTTTTGCTGAATTTTTCAGCAAAAAATGTAATAATCTGTTACTCATCTCTCTAGAAATAGTTCAGAAAAAATCAGCTGGACTGATAGCCTGGTGTGGTTGGGTTAGGGGAGAGATCAGTGTAGTTATAGGCAAGAAGGAGAGTGGCATCTAGTGGCCATAGGAAAGGATGGCACCTGAAAAATAGTATTAATCTAAACTTAAACAAAAAAAACAAAAATGAGGAAAAAAAATAGAAAAAAAAATCCACAACTTTCTTGGACAGCTTGAAAACACCGTTTATTATGGGTTCTTAGTTAAGGCTTAGGCTGGAATTTCTTGGTGGTAGTCTCTTAAGCAGTGAACTTGTAAAATATGACTGAATCTTGCATTTGCCTAGGGGCAAATACGGGAGAATTTGAGAGAGTTTGCCAAATGGCAAAATCACTGGGTGAATGAAAGTGGTGGTAAGACAACTGATAAGTGACAGGTATTAAATGATAGAAAATTACCACTGAAAGAATTCCCAGAAGACAGACTTTACAATGGGGGTAAGATGCTTCATAGGTGAGCTGGCATTCAGTTTAGTGGCTAATTAACGCTAAATGGTAACGCAGGAACATGGAATGAATGCCCCAACGCTGGGACTTAGGGCATGCTTCATCGCTGGCTTTCCAAATGCTAGGAAGAAGTCCAAGGGACGTGTAAGGAAATGTTTCACAGTGATCAGAATACAGAGTTACCACATTTCAGCTCTTACTATATGTGTGCCTGCAAAAACTGTCATCTCTCCTGTAAGGACAGCAGAATTTTGGCTGTGCTGATTGAAAGCACACAGCGTGCTCCTGCTGGCAGTCCACATGCGGCAGGACCTGCGGTCAGCGCAGCTGAACTTCTTACTGGTGGGATGAGGAGTTGTAAGCAAAAGTGATTGTGTTGTATCTAAAAATGAAACATTAACTTGAAAAAAAAAATTAAATTTCTTAAATTTCTTTAAAATGTTAAATTTCTTAAAAAAGACACGTTAACATTAAATACAAAAATATTATGTTTTGTATTATGGTAAGTGCACTCTGATGAAGCAGCCTGTGGTGGAGATGGGTCTGGGAGTACTTGGTGGTGGTGAGGGGCTGGGAGAGGGCAGGAGAGGGAGGACAGCAACAGGAGAGGGCTGGGCACTGCACTAGGTGGCGTGATTGCTCAAGTTTTCATGTGTGGTTTGGAAAAGTTTCAGTAGTCAGGTAGCAGAGCTGTCAGTTCATCAGCTTTGATGACTAAGGGGGTGGAAAGGAAGCCTTTTATTCTTCCAAGAAGTTAACAAATTAATTTGTGGGGAAAATTTTGTATCCTGGTTTGCAGAAAATTGATGTTTCTGGGTTAACTTATAACTTGTCAGATGGTTCTTCTGAAGCCTGAAAGCACTGCTGGAATATTCTCTTAGCACTGTGTTCAACATAGCGGTTCTCTTTATCCATAAGGATGTAAGTCAGAACATCTTTCGGACGAGGGTAGGTGAGTGAGAAGTTTGGTATGTCCAATGGTCAGTGAATAAGCAGTTCTGTTGGAGGGCTGGCAGAATTAGTTTGTAATGCTTTATATCTCATTTGAAAAGGACAGTTATGAAACTAAATTCTTAGATATAGCGTTTTGTCCTTGCCTACCATAACGTTAGAAAAGTCAATTGAATGTTGGTTTTTAATTGCTTTTTTTGGCTAATGTTGGACACATGAGATGTTCATTTGTTTTGCTGTATAGACCTCCTGGCTGACAGGGGTCAGCTCAAAAGCCCAGCAGATAAGCAAATCGCCTGAGCCTTGGTGTGTTTGTGGCCAGTGCCTCTTGCTCTGTAAGGAAGCTGCAGTTCCTAGTAACTGCTAGGCTGATAAATCTCTGTACAGATGTCCTAATGCTGGGATAGCCTTTTCTGTGCTGTTACAAAGCAAAACGAAGTAGCTAGTACAGAAACTCTGAAAACCCTCTGTGGATCCATCTCTGTCAGGATGAATTGATTTAGCATTGCCTGTCAAGGACCATAATGTCATTTTGTGAAACTGCTGCATATTGTAAACATGTAAAAAACCAAACACATAGGAAACATCTTCGTATTGTAACTTTTCTTCTTTCTTTTTACAAAGATTATTGGAATTAAACAATGGAATGTTCATGCTAATCCTCACTTTGTAGGGAGGGATTCCAGCTGCTAACTGTAACTAGTAAGAGGTACAGTATGCAGCGATACTTTATGGCATCCTTATAAAATAAGGATGGCATCCTATTCCTTCCTCCTGCCTCCAGCCCTAGTTTGCAGTTTTTAACACTTGTAGTCTGCATTTCTTGGAAGTTATTTTGCTACCTTTTAAAAAGCAAGGACTTGTCAACCTGTGATTTAAAATGCAGAGAGAATTGAATCCTGAAATAAAGCATAAGCAGCTTGCTGATTTGTGTATTTGATATCTTTAGTTATCCTACTCATTTATCACAACGGCTCCCTTGTTCTTTACTTACCTCCAGACAATAGTTATTTTTCCTTTTTATCTCAGTCCTCTTTCTTGTCTCCTTAAAAGGAGGATGCTGGATAATGGTGGAAGGGAAGCACCTGTCCCACTGTACTGAAAACTGCAGTGCATACAGGTGTTAGGGGGTTGTGCATATTAGAGAAGGACTAGGGAGGCTGTGAAGATGCACAAAGGATGGATACCACAAAGGAAGTGTGTGGAGGCTGCTGCCTCTGCCTGCTCTGACTGATGGAGTTCTCGGGCTGTGACTGGTGGCACAGTGCTAAGAACAGAGTTCAGACTGGACTGGGGTGAAATCACCTATATCAGTCTTAATTTCTCACTAGGTTTCAAATTCTTGCAGTTGCTAATCGGTAGTTCTGTCCAGTCCTATTTTTTTAATCTCTGATAGATTTGGGGTGGGGGGATGACTGTTTCCAACAACTGCTGTCAAATGCTCTGTATTGTTTATAGTAACTGCAGAATATTCTGGCCATTGTGTTTTACTTCAAAGCATAAATATACTAAAACCTAATGGTGCGTTTCATATCTCACAAAAGCTCAAAACAATGGTATTATATAAGCTTTAACTCTGAATGCAGTTATAGTTTCTGGTTTGTAGTTATTTTTAGGCGAGCTACAGCTTGTTAGTAGCACAGATTTTATTTTTAAAAACATTGAACTACCTGTAAAAAAGAAAATGTTCATGCTCTAGATTTCATTTCAAAGTGCTACTGGAAGCTCTTTAGGTTGTGTTGACTTGCTATCACTGTTGAAAGTTACCTAATTTGCAGTGTATGTTTGTGATTTTTTTTTTTTTAACATTTGTTTAAAGGAAAAAATGCTGTGGAGGGGGAGCAACTTTTGTAAGTTTGACCTAAAGCTGGCATCTAAATGCTGACTTTAGCTCAGCCAAGTTGTATATAAAGAGAGAAGCTAAAAACTGGAAAGCTCTGCTTGAATATCATGATAGCATGAGGTTTGGCTGGCCCTGCTCTTGGGCTTGTCTTCAGAACTCAAAGATCAGTTGGATGCGTCTTAAAATGGGCAGCCTTGTAAGAGGGAGATATGTAAAGATATATGTCTAATTTTAGTGTTTCAGCTTTTGCAAGCCTGAGATGTTATCGTGTTATCAGGCCAGCTGAGCTCTGTATCATTCTTGTAAAGAAATCAGCTGTGGTGTTTAAAGCCTCTGAAGTTGGGACCATTGAGGCAAAGTTCAATTAGTTCTTCTAATGAAGAAACCAGAAGGAATTCCATCACTGGAAAGTTAAAATGTTCTTATGAACCTTGTTGAGGTTCTTGATTGTACACATCAGCATAAATCAGTTTGTTGCATTTGATTTGAACAATTGGAAATGCTTACTGTCTTCCTGTTAGTCTGCAGCAGCTTCATCTTTACTGTTAGGAAAAGCTCTTTGACAGAAGACAAGGAGTACTGAAGTTATGGCTTACTTGGGAAGATATTGGTATTGATGGGTGTTGGCAGAACAGTGACTTTGAATAAACCCTGGATTCGGTGCTTTTCCTGAGGCCTGAGAGCCAAGTACAAATACTGGAAAGTGGTTCATCTTGGAAAATCAGACACACACCCAACCTGTGTCAATTGGTCTGTATGCATTGGGCATGCTTCAATCTTTCTGTGAAAAGATCATTGCTAATACACAGTGAAAACATTTGTTCTAAGCAGATCTCAAACCTGAACTGAAACCCCCAGTTAATCAGTTGGTCCATTGTTTTCACTTTTTGAAAATAATTGAACGATGCTATGGAAATGAAATGCCTTAGAATCCAAGGATCAGTGAAGTGACATGCTAATTAGAAATTTATGCTGTGTTCTTCTTCATCAGTTGCTTAGCTATAAGAATGGAGTAATCAATCACACTGTCCTTTTGTATTGACTCTAGTAACAAATGAATAATAATTGCAGTTGCCAGTCTGTCAGACACTGCATTAGGGGTTGGTGCAGATCAAGCTGCATTCGCTTCTGTATCACTGCTGACAAATTTAAGGGCCCATCTCTTTCATAACATGATCTCATTGATTGTTTGTCCCTTTGCTGTAAATATAGCTTGTTTCAACTTCATATAATAGCTTGACAGACAGGAATGTAAGGATTTTATCCCCGTTGAAGGCATAGCAGTGGGTGTTATGTCAGCTGCTTTGTGGCAGAGGAGTAAATTGTGAATCAAAAGGCTTAATGTATCTGCAGCTTGTGGCTGAAGAGGAAAAGCCTCTAGATATCCATAGTTTTAGGATCCTTCCATGTTAACCTACCTACCTTGTATGTACTGGTTTTGTTTGCTGTTTGTTATTGTTTTGTCATTTTAATGTTGTGACATGTAGTGAAGAGACTGGGATTTGTATAAAAACCGATGTGGTTTATGCTGTTCCCCTACCAGTCATAGAGCAGTATGTACTTACTGATGACTTCTGTCAAATTGATTCTGATCATATTTTTTCTCCAGATGGCTCTGGTTAAAAAAAAAAAAAAGTATTCTGTAAGTTTTTTTTTTTTTTTTTTTTTAAATTACAGATTGTTTCAGTTACTATTTCTTAAGTAAATAGATCCCTAGATAAGATCTTACATGGAATTGTACTTTCTTTTCAGATACCGTTAAAAAACTTCAGGACCAAAAGCATGATATGGAAAGAGAGATAAAGAATCTTCACAGGAGACTCCGGGTAGGTTAATACCTAAAAACTCAATAAGTAAAAAATTGGAATGTTGTAAGACCTGCATGTGAAATTGTGAAAAAGTGGTATGGCTGGATGTAATACCATACAATTACTTCTGAGGAGAAAGGCATCATAGGGGAATATATTTACTAACCTACAGAGACTAAAGACTAATTCTGAAAAATTTTGTCTTAGAAATACGGTATCGGGATTGGGAGAAAATGTTTGTAGTGAAGAAAACAAATATGCATTAAACTATGCATGAGAAGACAAAGGAACATTATCTCTGTTTTCTATAAAAGAAATTAATGACCTTTTGAAGTTGTTTCCAGCAAAACTTGATCAATGAAAGTTGTAAGTTATGTTATGCATAATGCCAGAGACGAGTGCCTTTATCAGACCTCTAAGTTGTTTCCAGTAACAGCAGAGGGAAAATATGAGTAATATGGATAACTTCAACTTCACAATTCTTGCTGCAGCTTTCAATGTAAAGTTTGATTTACTTCTAGGAGGAGTCTGCGGAATGGCGTCAGTTCCAAGCCGATCTACAGACTGCAGTGGTTATAGCAAATGATATCAAGTCTGAGGCCCAGGAAGAGATAGGGGACCTAAAGCGTCGATTACATGAAGCTCAGGAAAAAAATGAGAAGCTCACTAAAGAGCTGGAGGAAATAAAGTCACGCAAGTATGCACAAAACAACAGGGATATTGTCTGTTTTGTAGGGGCGTTACAGTTTTGGAAATCCAGTATCTTAACTGTTACTGAGGCTCTGGACGTTTGTAAATTCTGTCACTGTAAAGATGTGTATTTCAACAGGCTGCCTTATGCAGGCTTTCAGGGAGTCAAAATAAGTAAGCTTAGAAGAAAAGTATTTGTTTCTTTATTTTGTATACTATTTATATAAGAATACTTAGTTTGGCACTTTTGTAAAATCAGGTTGTGATGGAGAATTTTTCCCTGTAACATTTAGACTTGATTTAATTTTATTCAGCATGAAAAACAAGCAGAGTTAGCTTTTCTGTACCATCATTAATACTTCCCTTTAGTAGCCAGGGCTTTTGGTGTGATTGAAAATGCGACTGTAGCTTTACCTGAGAAGAAACCTTCCTCTGCATGCTTCTTGTACTGTTTTCTTTCCACTGGTAATTGTTTCTGGAAATAATTAGAGGTGTTTCGTATAAAAATTAACTTTTAAAATAAAACATTTCAAATTATGATGCTTGAATTAGGTCATACAATTAGTTAAAAACTGAATCCTATGTCTTTCAGGAGTGTTAGTCGTCAGTAACTCCACAGAATAGCAACATCTTGGGCAGCACCATTTTAATCCTGACTTCATTGTCTCTAAAGATTGAATAGCTTACAAGTACAATAATGATGTTTGCAATGTGTATGTGTTTTTTTGTTTGAGCTATTTATAGGATACATTATACTTACCTCCAATCCTACTTCCTATGTAGGCTAGGAGAAAAGTGTGGGAAAAACATGATAGGGATAGGGAGAGCAAACTGGTTACACTGAAAGTGGAAAATTATCTGAATGGATGAGTGGTGGTTGTAAGCCTTCTTATCTGAAGTAGGATCACGAAAGTGAAAAGGGTGAACATTAAGACATTTTGGCAAGAACTGTAATTATTCAATTACTCCTCGAAAATGAACCTTTAAGGTTACAGTTGCACTTCTGAAGGCTTGCTGACTCTAGTCAGTATATTCCTTATTTGTCTACATACACACAGCATTTGACGTTTGACTCACTGTAGGCAAAGAACAAGGAGGCAATTGAAATAGGAATGGAAAATGATATAATTACTGTATTGGAGGGAAGATGGTGAGAAAGTATATTACAGCATCTGAAGCAAAAATTAGACAATGTTTAATTAGTTCAGGCTATAGAAAATAGGTTGCTTCAAACCTATTTTTTGTCTTGGGAGTGACAATGAATACCATAACCATGATAAGTATTCTGTTCTAAAATTCTAAAATAAGTTTTTGCTTCAAAACAGATTTGGATGCTGCCTTGACATTAATGCTAGAAATATATTATTATTCTCATCTCCTTACTCTTTATTTAAATTGTTTTCTCTTTGTGCAGGTAGGAAAAAAAAATATCTCCCCTCTGAGCTGATTATTTTCATGTGGTAAAATTTTTAAACCTCAGTTTTTCCTTGTATGCATCTATATGTATGTATTTGAGAGAGGAACAGAAATTTAGCCTTAAATAGAGTATTAATTTGATAGATTTTTTTGCCTGGTGCTTAAGCTGTCTGGCTGACAAATAGTAAGAACTCTTACATTTGTAATTTAGGGTGATCATCTATTCCTCAATTACAGTGGAAAGAAAACTAGGTTAATGACTGATTTTTTTGACCATAGATTTTAATTTGACTTCAGATTTGTGTTGATTTTGTAACACTTTGCATGTTAAGATGTTTTTAAATGCCTTAAACAGGCTGCATATTGATTTCAGGCAGGAAGAGGAACGTGGCCGAGTATACAATTACATGAATGCCGTAGAGAGAGATTTGGCAGCTCTGAGACAGGGAATGGGCCTGAGTCGCAGATCATCCACCTCCTCAGAGCCAACTCCTACTGTAAAAACACTCATCAAGTCATTCGACAGTGCCTCCCAAGGTAATTATTTTCAACCAATGTAGTGTCTGTACTACGTTATGTTTTTTGGGTATTTTGACTTGGGCATTTCTAATGGCTTAGCCAATTCAAAGGTAAGTTGTTTTATTATACCATCATGATTTATAAGTGATGGCTGAAACAAATCAACCTAAACTTGATTGCACAACAGCTTGTTCACTGTGGTTAAGGGCAAGCATCCTTCTTTGTTTTCTGTTTTTTCTTCTCTGCTGCAGTGCCAGTGTTTCACATGCTAGATGCTTTGATTGTGCTCCCATATATTAGAAATACATAAACATGCAGTACATAATTGTAGCTGGAATCACAGCTGACTGCAACCTTCCTATTAAGTTGTATACATAGTGTGCCAAAGTAAGCATTCTAAAAGCAATGGAATGGCTAGAGCCAAGTTTATTTCTTTTAATAACTTACGTTTGCATAGACAAAGTGCTAATGAAAGTTAAAAATAAGGTCCAACCAACATCACTATTAGAAGATAGGGGGAATAATTTCTGAAATGAAAGGGATCTCACTGTTGAGACAGTGGAATTCACTGTAATTTCTGATGGTGAAAAAAAAGATACTATTGTCCTTCTCTATAGATGAGTAGAATAAGAAAACCAAGTAATTCTTCTGAAATGGGAAACAGGTTTTAGGTTTGATTGCATGTGAGATGTTGTATGGATTAAAACATTTTCTTCACCAAGTCTTTTGGCCTTGAATTTCACTTATGATAATGTTGCTGTGAGCTTCTGAAGTAAAAAGACCTTGCTGGAAGTAGACTATATTATCAGAGAGATTTACAGTACCTGTATTGTGCGTGGCAAATTGATTTTTACACACTTAAAGCCTGAAAATGTAGTATGCTATAGAAGTATCTCTGTATTATTTGGTGATTCTGTAAATGGTTCTATTTCCTTGCATATTTTCTTATTTCATAGGTATTGAGTTTTTGATTTTCCTAGAGTTAACTTAGAAGGTTTTCCAGTCTGTTTTGGAATAAGGTTCTATCTTACCGGAGTTTGGTAAAACAGTAAATTCCCTCTGCCTTCTTTTTCACCTTTTATTTTAGGCTGGTATCTGTTGTCTTCAGCATTCATACTTAATCATGCTGTTGAGGAATCAGATGACCATCTCAGCCAGCTCAGTGTTAATCTGTTTTCATACTTTTCTAATCATAGTATTTGTTTAATTCAAAATTTGGATACTCTTACATAACAGTAGGTCTATATTAGCTATGGACTATGTAGTAGTGATGGCATTGGATTGAAAATGAGAAAGGAGAAGCAGGTGATGGTGGATATCTTTCCTGTCTTACTGTCCCAGGAGCCTGCTACCATCTCTTTAACTATCTGGAGATCAGAGAACTAGCAACGCTATCATTTACATCTGCCAGGGTAATAGTATCCTGCACCTTAGCCGTGTCCACCCTGCAGTAAACTTAAATGTTTTTAGCATGGATAATATATTCAAGACAGAAAATAAATGTAATTACAGAGGATTGAACGTGTAGGCAAACTTCTGAATGATTTTGCAGGCAGTTACTAATTGAAATTTTAAAACATATGATCTGGTAAAACCAGTAATGTAAAATGTAAGGAGAGTGTTTGCTATATGCAGCAAGTCTCCTTGTTCATTGCAATGTGGTGCAATGCTCACAACGGTTTCCTTTCTGTGTGTCTGCTAGTTCCAAGCCCTGCTGCTGCCGCAATTCCTCGGACTCCCCTGAGTCCAAGTCCCATGAAAACGCCCCCAGCTGCTGCTGTCTCCCCTATGCAGGTAGGTGTTCTATGTCTGCGTTTAATCATTTGTGAAGAAGAGCATGTGAAACTACAGCCACTACTATTGTTTGGCTTTGTGGGGACATGATGATAAAATGCTTCTTCAAGTAAGTAGCTACTAAAATGTTCAGTCTAACAAAAGGGTGCCTCTCCAAGGAAACCTTAGAGAAAATGACACTTAAACAGCTGTATTAGAAACGTAAAAGCTCCCTGGTTTTGATGCAGATAGAGACGATGTCTATTCCTTCCTGATCACTGCACCTAGGGTCCACATAGAAATATCTCCTTAAACTCTTATTTTCTTGTTAGAGGTTATTATAACCTAGGTATGTTTTGTTACATGTCCTGTTTGTATAACATCGGTTTAAGCACTGCAACTGAAGGAAAAATTACAAAACACACATCTACTACATTAGTTCCTTTGGAGTCCTTCACTGGAGAACCATATTGTAAATACAAGATTTGGCATAATTTGGGAATTCTTGTTAAATATTCTCAACCCTTGCTATTCCTGCAGTACTGAGAAGGCTGTGAGGAAAACTTTATCTACATTCCTTAGGTTTAGACTTGCTGTTTGTCAGTTGTTAGTCCTGTGCCTGGAATGGAAACAGCAGTAATCCCCTTCAGGCAATGGTCTCAGATCTGTGCAGAATCTGTCAGCAGTCATCAGTATAAATGTATCCCATGTTGCATGGGCTTTTGATATCAGACCTGACCAGAGAAGAATGAAATCATTGTAAATTGATTATCTTTGTTAATTTTGTGCAGACTGAGAGTTTTGTCCAGATGCTGATTGTACTGTGTATTTTGTGCTGTCCCCTTTGAAGCTTTGTCCATTTATTCATCTGCTACAGGAGTCTAGGTACACTTAAGATTGCATCATCAGTAGTGCTCAGCTTTATAGATCGTTGCTGTTTTTATGATCTCACTAGCTGCATGAAGAGAGATTTCAGCAAAAGCAAACAAGCTTAAGGACAAAGATGGGACCAGATTCTCAAAAAAAAAAAAAAAAAAAAAAGTTGTACTCCTTTAACGTCAGTAATTCTCCCCTTGCCTTCATGATAATGCTGAAATGACTTTTTGAGAGCTTCTGCTATTTTCTGCAGTTCAGTAACTCCTGACAACAATTTTCTAAATTATTTAAATGTGACATTCTCTGTCATGCTTTGTTTCTGTTGATCTGTCTATATATTTCTGTTTATTTCTGTGCTTTTGTAGGAAGAAGTACGCTTAATGTCATGTTCTAAAAGGCTGGACTTTGGCAGTACTTCTGCTTTGGCAGACAAAGGGCTTCTTGACCAAGCCCAAGGCTTATTTAATTTTATTTAACTGAAAATTAACCATGAATTAAAATGATGTCTTAAAATACTGTAAACTTGATCAGAAGCACTGATCTTGTTTTGTTGTACTGTTTGCCAAAATTACTTGAATCTTGAATTCTGGTATAGAACCAAGTCATTAATAGCTGGACACTCATTAGTGGCAAGCATTGACTGAAAGACAAAGGGGAAGGCATGTAAATGAAAATAGCTTCTATTGTCTTCTTTGATAATAGGTGGTTTTCTTGGAAGACTTTTTATAATTATGCTGAAAGCAACTGGGATTTATGATCTCTGTTACATAAACTTCATTTAAAGAATGTTTTCTGATAAAGAGAGAACGGGGTTCAGTTTCAAAAACAATTTTCATCTTCTCCTTTGCTTCATTTTCATATTACTACTTTGTTTTCTACTGTTGTCTTCTATACTATTTTTTACTTTTTTTCTCTCTTGTAATTGAAAAGTAGTATTTTTATAAGTAGTTACAATATGAGTTGATGTAGAGGCTCTCTCATCTTACGGAACACATCTGTGGTTTAAGATCTTGAGTAAAGGTGGAAGAGATGATCTTGGTATGAGTGTTGCCATGCTTATTATCGTTAATCTCAGGTGCTTTTCAATGCAGTCACACAGGAAATATGAAGTGGGCACCTACTGAGAAACTCAGTTCGTTTTGATATCACGATAAGACTGATTAGCTGTCAAAAAGATTCTCCAAGCACAGCTGCATTGATATGTGGTCTCTGAATAACATGTATCATTTCATTTTTGTATTGGACTGTGACATGAATTTCCTCAATCTACAGAGGTTTTGCTTGATTTATTCATCTTCACAGTAATGCGTGCATGGATAAGGGGAGATGTTCTTAAATATATTTTTGCAACTGAAAATAGGCAAAACCCCTTTCTGGCTTTATGTCCAAACCCATAGTGGAGCATAGTGGTTATTTACCATAGCTTAGCAATATTGCAAAACAGTTGGGAAACGTTGTATAAGGAGATTGCTTTTCAGAATATAAAATAACCCTTCAGAGTTTGTCCAAATGCTTAGCGAGAAAGTTTGTGTCTGGTAGTCTGCTAAGAGCGGAGATGCAAAAAGGCATCAAAGCAGATGCCTAGAAAGGAGTGTAAGGACAAGGAGGTGTAACTGCCAACTTTGCTGAGTACTTTTTTTCAGTTTTGTAGTTGGAAGATTCTTGGAACCAGACATGGTTCTGGATTCCCTGCTCATCAGCGAATGTCCAGCTTTGCTTTGAGCATACAAACATTCAGGCTCCAAGCAATTCAGTCAGACTTCCACATTGTAACTACATAATATGCAGAGAGCTGTGTTTGTTTTGAAATTGCCACGTGTAGGTACATTGGCATAAATATCTTACTGAAGTAGGTAAGTACACAGTGAGGTGCAAAGTACCCGTCAGGAATAGGTATCTGGATAGTGGTTGAAGGTCATGTTTCTTTCAATAGCCAACAGCAGATGCAACAATTAAGAGTCAGAAGTAAAATATTTGGAGTTAAAGGGATTAATCCATCCTGTCATAGTTAAAGTGTCAGATGTTTGTTCTTCTCTTTTTTTCTGACCTGTGTCCCCATTTCTCTTCTGGGGCTGTTACTCATCTTAAAAAAGGAAAAGGAAAAATCTAATGACTAATAGCTAGCTAGCCGGAGCTAAGAATGGCTGTGGGAAAATAACTGTTGATAATCTTAACGTCTTTAATTGTAATTACATTATACAGAGACTACAACGTAAAATCATTTAATTTAACTCCAAACAATTTTCTTTATTGCATCCCGTCTAAAGTACTCCTTAAAGGTTCTAACATTCCTTTTGCCTAGGCCTCAGTGTAGGATGAATGGGAACACAGATGGCAAAGCATCATTAGTAATTTCTTTCCCATTGGTAATTTCCATGAGTAGCCTCAAAAGCATATGATTCCTTTAAACTTTTGATCCTCTTTTATGTAGTGTTGAGGAATCTGGACACTGGTGTAAGGGACAAATGGTGTTTAGCAACTGAACAAGTTCGAGTGTATTTCTAGTTGAAGGAAAAAAGCTATATATCAAGAGACTGGTAGCATCCATACTTGCTTCATTACACATCAGATGTGTTTTGTAAATGAAATGAATGGTAAATCTGCAATTTCGGCAGGTCACTCAAGCAGAAATATCCTTAACACTTGTAAAATGTTTCAGGAAAAATTACTGTCCAAGAGACACTTGCGCACTACTACTGTAAAGATACCGCCAAGTGGAACTTGATATGTGAACTGGTTGGATCATTTTTCTCTAATTTCCTGAGTCACTACATTATTATTGGTAGCTGTAACAGTAAGATATTTAATAAGGAACTAGTAACAACGAAGTTAAGCCCAGACTGCAGTGTCAACAGGAGCAAAAAGCAGAAAAACAAACAGCTTGTGTTATAACAAGGAGACAATACTGATACATAGCAAGTTATCAGTTGAGTACCACAGTCGTTTTCTGACGATATCCGTAAAGGATGTTTGTTTTTAAGTGATACCCGGAAGCTGAGAAAGTGATAAAGATATACGGTGATCCAGCAGTGTGCCTGCTCTGTGTACCTTCCTTTCCTGGCAGAGGCTCTATACTGCTCTGCCTTTGTAACAGTAATCCCAGAGCCAGCCGAAATAACAAGTTTTTTTTTCTTTTAACCTCATTGATTACTGTATATGTTTCATTTACTTATCTATTGGAAACAAAGACTCTCATTTTGATATAATCCTTCTTTAATAAAAATGAATAAAAATCCTAAGAGGGTGAAATGAAATATAAAGGTAATGAAACTTTGGAATAGCAACCCTTATGGGAAGCTGTTGTGGGGAGCACTGTGCAAGGCTCATGGTTACTGTCACTTTTATTTACACGTTTAAGGGAATAATCTGTAGAATACCTCAGGATTTTGATACATAAAGCGATAAAATTCTTCACACTGTGTTTTGTAGTTGGTTCTTAGATGGTGATAGGTGTTTTCTCCATTTGATTACTAGCACAAAAGCGTAATCCTAGTTTGGCCCAAAATGACAAATAAGTAGTCCTGTAATCTTGCCTGTGCTACAGGATGCGGCAAAGTATATAGTGCGAATTTCTGTTTATCACAGTTTTGGATATGTCTGTCTTGCCTACATGATTTGGCATGAGAAACATCTGAGCTTTGTTATTTTATGAAGATAAGGCTCATTTAACCTTCTCATCTAATCTTGGGCCAGATGGAGAGCTGAAAGTTTTCAGGATAAACACATTACTGGACTTATTATGATTAAATATAGGAATCTAATGTAAAAGGATGAATAAGGATGTAATGTAACTTGCGGTAGGCTCTTTGAAATCATTATTTTTTCAAAAGAAAGCAAAACCAAAAAGCACAAAAAACATCTGTTGACAGTCTTAAGTCTTCAGCACTTGGATATAAGTTTCAGGAAGTGTAGGGGTAATTATTGAATTGTGCAGTTTTTATTTGTGTGGCTTTTTGTTTGTGTGATGGAAAAACGCTATTTTCAGTGTTATCCAGTGGTTATTAAATTATGTGCAAGATGCATCTGTGATCATACACTTGCACTTCAAGCTGCCAGAAGCTATGAATTGCTAAACATTTTAAGTAAAATTTGAAAAGACAGTGTTAACATGATGACTTTTGCAGCTTTCCTAGCAATAGATAAAGCTGAGGGGAATGATACTTCTCATTCAGAATGAGAGGGAAAGCCTTCATTAAACAGTCCCCAGGGTGAACCATGTCGTGAAAAAAATTGAATGAATTTCTAGCGATGGTGTGGACAAATGAAAAATGATATTTTATTTTTTTTCCTGTATGGAAAAGATATTTAGAAATTGTATTTTGTAGAGATTTGTTTTGTTCTGCTTGGTTTATATGTAGCAAATTGTTTGACACAAGGATTTTTCTGTTTCAGAGACATTCCATAAGTGGACCGATCTCCACTTCAAAGCCCCTTGCTACACTGACAGACAAAAGACCGAGCTACGCTGAAATCCCTGTGCAAGGTATTTATTCAAGTTCATTTAAACTTTTCAGCAATGCTAGTATTTTTTCTGTTGTATGTCATATCCAGATCATTATCGTATTAGATGCTTTTTAAGCAAAATATTTTGACTTCTAAATGCAAAGTAAGTGTTTTTATTACTTTTTTCATCACACATGGTGACATATCAAAAAGATGCTTTTTTGAGTTTTCAACAAAAACACAATTATATCCTAGTAAATGGGCATTAATCTGCTTTAATGTGTGTATATAAACTGAGATCACTTGCAAAATCAAGATCTTAGGGATATATCATGCTACTGCTTTCCAGATTTAAAAAATGCACACCTCTGGGGCTACATTATGTCTTGTGGTTTGTGTGTGTGTTTCAAACTTAAACCGGGAGGATAACTGTAATTGTATTGCACGTGAATAACAAAATATAAACTTATTAAGTATTGAATCTTCAGGAGCCAGGTGAAAAATGGAATGGAATTGATTGTTGATTTATCTGTTTTCCAATATTTCCCTGTTGTGTGAACTTTGTTTTGTCTCTCAAAATGTTCACAATGTGCTCTTCCTGTGAGAGTGAATGGCTATCATATGTTGGGTGTAGCTCTCTGATTTATGCCTGTTTTAGGTTTTTTTTTTTTGTAGATGTTTCTTAAGATAATACCCATATGACTCCAGACTGAATATTTCCTCTCACTTTGGTATTTCTGAAGTCTGATGTTTTATAAAGGGTGCTTTTTTTCTTTTGGTAGCATTTCATAATAGTCCGTACATGCCAGATTTCCTTCTTGCTTTTGTTGAATGTATATTGAGTTTTTTTTCAATGCAGCTGGAGTTTTAATTTTAGAAACATTGATATTTTTAGGAATACTGAAATGCCTTTCCAAGAAGATAGTTTAGGATTCTTTAATTGTTACAGAGTTCATGGGTAGACATAAGCTTAAACACAAAATCAGTGACATGCTTTCTGTAGTTTCTGTGTTTTCATTACGATTAGTTAAATGCAGGAGCAGGAAAGTATTCTGGTAGAGAATGTCTGACAGAATTCCTGTTTACAAGTGTGTGTGTGTGCGCACATATATATATATATATATATATATATATATATATATATATAAAGCAATGTATGTTCCTTATGTCATGTTTTTAACTAGTGAAGTGGGTTTACCATTTTATTTTGAATACTCGTTCACCTTTTTCATATTTTTGTATTAAAATTGCTGCCTTGTAATTATTTCTACAGCAGCATGAGTATGTAAACTTTATGCATGAAAGTTTAAAGGTTTTATTTGAAGGAATATTAATTTTAAACTGGAAACTAACAAAAACTAGGTTTGGTTAAATGCTACATAAAATTAGTTTTGCTGAAGTTTGATTTCACTCATCGTCAGAAAGCTGAACCAATCTTTCCCTAGGAAAAGTGAAGGTACCTTTTTGACCCCAATTCATGGGAAAGTCAGGAAAGCATGTTTGTATTTAAAAAATAAATAAATTACCAAACAGACCAAAAAAGGGAGGGAGGATGACAGAGAACCAATCTGGTTTACCACTCCAAACTGTGAATGGCATATCAGACATTTTTTCCAGTGTGCTAAATGGGGATTCCTTGCTTGGACTTTTGGTTTTACAACTCGTTTTTAATAGAACAGGGCAACTGTGAGAGAGGCCTTACTGAAAAAGGAATAAAAAGGTCATGATGTGTTCATAGTGGACTTCGTTGGTAATGAGCAAATTTTAGGCCTTCTTTTGTACAGATAAAATCTATTGCTCTCACTAAAGCAGCCAAACTCAGGCATTGGTAGGCAGTATTTGTGATGCATACCTAAATGTCTTGCTTGAACATGGAATCTTTGCTAATGGTGTCCTGTCTTCATTTTCTTTGTCTAGAACATTTGTTGAGAACGTCGTCTACCAGCAGACCAGCATCTTTGCCAAGAGTACCCGCTATGGAAAGTGCCAAATCTATTTCAGGTCATACCACGTTTTCTAGATTACTAATAAAATTAGGAACTCTCATTTCAATGCTGTACTTAGATCTATTTCTCTTTTTTGAGAGAGACCTTTTGTTTTCAGACCATTGAGGTCTTTTCAAAAGATTGGATATTTAGAATAGCTTACTTTTCAGTGTTTGAGTTTTCTGTTGAAGTATATGAGGAAGAAGAGTTAAGTCCAATGGTTTAATAAATAAATAAATGCAGTTTCATTGCATCAAGTGGAACAGATTTTTTTAATTGCTTTTCTAGTGTCCTTGTTGCATGTAGAGATTTGTACCAAGATAGTATACTGTATGGTTGTGTGTCAATCATGCACATAACAGCTGACTAATATGTTCCAAGAAACTCTACCTGGTTGTTAACCTACATTCATGCAGTAAAAGTTATATTTTAAAGAGCGAGTGAGACAGAGAAACATTCTGTCCTTCTCCAGCTGAGCTATTCCTTTTTTGTTTGTGAGAAGAATTATTTTCAGTGGCTGGAGAAGGTCTCTCCTTTAAATTTGGAGGATTGTTCTTTTTAGGTAACAAATGCATATTTGTATGTTACCTAAGGCATGTAAATATTTTCCCATGTTACCTAGCAAAACTTCAACCCATTCTGTAGGACAAAAGAATGTTTGCAGTAAATCATTTTACAGTAGTCTATTTGGTGACTGGCAGAACCTACAAATATTTCCAGTTTTTACTCTTGGTGGTTTCTGCATTTTGCTGTTAAGTGTTTTCTGGTTTTTTGTTTTTTTTTTTTTTTTTGTTTTTTTTTAAGAATTGAAAAATATAAGTTTTAAAAGGCTTCTAGAGACAAATCTTTAAGATTAGTAGCACAAATAGTGGGATAATGTAAAAATGGTACTTCCTATTAAACTAGGCAGAACTGATTTGAGAGGCATATATATGTATAAATTTTAAAATCCCTATATTTGAATAAATGGTTTCAGGGGAAAAAAAGGGGATTAGCTCATTTTGATTTGTACTGAAAACATCCACCCAAAATAATTTTTCTCAATTTCTAGTGTCTGGTATTTATGAACTCATTTACTTGCCATAAGTCATTAGAAAATACGTCTCTGAAGTATGTGCAGAGTTGCTATTGTTTGTTTGCAAATCAAATGTGTAACTGTGTAGATATAAAGGGCAAACCTCATACTGTTAACTGGGATCTCTTCTATGTAGAGAAAACATGACCATTCTACAGAATGTAATGTTGCTCTTTTTTTTTCTTGACAAAAACGTTTTGTCCGGTGGTCTCAGGTCAATCTTTAATTTGCCTGCTGATATTTAATTCAAGTCCAGAGCATCACTTGTGTGTCAATTCTTGACTAAAACTAAGTGGAAACAAAGTAGCTATTAGCTAAATTATTTTTTTCTTAGTGACATAACTTCATGGACTAGAGAAAAAGGGTATGGTTTGATGTTAAAATTTATTTTCATTCATGAAGTCTTCCAAATGGAAGTAATGAAGTATCATTATACCATTAAATGTGTTCATCAAATTTTCTTACATTACAGCCTGTATGTCAAAACAAAATGTTGGTAGTGCACTTGAAATACTTGATACCTCTTTAGTGGCAAGTACCAAGAAAAATGTCAAAGCCTAGGACCGTATATGGATTTCTTTTCATGGTTTCTGAACTAACGCTTGTTAGAGAGCAGGAATAAGTTCAAAAGGTTTTATTGTTGGCAAATGATCAATATATGGATGTTTTTTGCTGTATAGTGTCTCGAAGAAGTAGTGAAGAAATCAAACGGGATATCAGTGCACCTGATGGAGCATCTCCAGCATCTCTCATGGCAATGGGTACCACCTCACCACAGCTATCACTCTCGTCTTCCCCTACAGCATCAGTCACCCCTACAACCAGAAGTCGAATAAGGTAAAAGCCTTTTTCTGTTATACACCAAAAAGTGTTAATTTCATAGCTATCTGTCTGTGTGTGTCTAGGATATAATGTTGGCATCAAGACGGCAGATTTTACTGCTACCCATGCAACAACAATCTTTGGAAACAAAGTGCTTCCTCCAGCTCAGTATACTTTTTAGAGCTTATATGGTCAATGCCACGATTTTATGCTCCACTAGAAAAGAAAGCTAAATCATGTCACTAAATAATATCATCACATCAGTTCAATATACCATGAAACCAAATCCAAGAAGTGAGCTACAGCGTGACTTGGACTTGGAGAGAACGTGATAAACTTTAAATTTAGTAATCACAGCTGAGGACAAAAAGCAGTGTGACTGGGTCTTAATTCCAGACACTGTTGAATAGCCAGGACTGAATTGGCCTGTGTTATTTGTACCACACTTGAAATCATAATGTAAGAATGGTCAGGCACCCCTCTCTTATTAGTATGATAAAAAGATAAACCTTTACGGATAGGAAAAGGTTTAAATTTATCAATGTTATCAGTTACAAGAACCTCAGAGTATTTACACCGTATGTTATGCAAGTGAAGTATGTACACAGTCTTGCCTGTTAGATTGGGAAACTAAGAGGCAAAGGTAAAATGACTTTTTTAAGCCTATTTGACACAGAACTTCTTGAGAGTTTTTGTACAGCAGAAACATTAAATCCTTAATGTTCTGAGACATTACAATATGTAATAATTACATTATAAAATTGTGAATATTTACAGCCGTGGAGGATATTGAAAATGCATTCCTGAAATCAGTTGCAACGTGTATGTGTTGTTCTTTCCACTGTGCAGAAATTAAGCTGAGTTTGGATCTGTGGTTGCTTTATCAGCAGCAATGTATATTGTGTATGTTAGCACTTAAGTGAGGACCAAGTATATGCAGAAATAAAAAAGACTAAAAGACCTGTATATGAGCTTTGAACTCATAGTGTAAAATGGCATGGGTGGCAGTCTGCAGACTGTAGCAGATACGTGGCATTTCATGATGTAATTGTACAGTTATAATCTTGATAATAAGCTGCCTAGGCACTGCTTCAAATTCCAAGCCCTACAACAGGAGGAGCAGTGCAGACTGCAGCAGTGGGTGCGTAGCGATGAATGGGCTCTCTGGAACACTGCTCACAGTGCCGCTGCTGGACTTGAGTATTTTTTTGTGATTGAGTTTCTCTTTTTCCCCTACCTTTTTCTGAAAGTCGTGGTAAAATAAACAGTTATTGCTATAGTTCACTGAAACAAATATTTGAAGTTTACTGTTCCTGTTCTAGTTGAATCTTTATTGGCTCTGTTGATTTTGAATTAAGTTAACCTAATACACTAACTTATAAGGCTTGTATGTCAAACTATTTTTCATTGTCTGCATACAACTTATGTTATTTTATTTCCTTTAGCTGTGCTTTCATAACTGAGAGAACTTGATATAAACCATGTGCATTTATTGGAATTTGAGAACAGGCTGTACAGCTCCTCCATGGCTAAACAGTATGGTTTAGCATAGAGAGGGAACTTGAAATTTGAGTTTTCATAGGTTGTCCCAAAGCTCTGTGCTGAAGTTCTCGTAGAGTTTCATAATCTTTGTTGTAGATTAAATATGCAGTCCCATCATTATTTGTTTTGATGACCTTCTTTGACCTCTTCCGAGCCTGGACTTCAGTAAGGCCTTTGACATGTCCCCTGTAGATCCTCAGGGACAAGAGGTTGATGTTTGGGCTGGGTGTGCGAACAGCGAGGTGGGTTACCAGCTGGCTGAATGGCTGGGCCCAGAAAGTGGTGGTCAGCGGCCTAGGGTGTACTTGGAGACCAGTTACTAGTGGAGTACCCTAGAGGTCAGTACTGGGTCCAGATCTGTTTGCCATCTTCATTAATGGTCTGTATGATGGAGCAGCAAGTCTGACAATGACGCAAAACCAGAAGTGGCTGATGTGCCAGAGGGTTGTGGTGCAATCCAGAAGACTTGGACAGGCTGGAGGAATGGGCTGAAATAATATATATTTATTTATTTTAATCTAAGTGCTCATTTCTGAAGCCTGGTTAAGAGAGGGTTGTGATATATGACTCAAGTGGAAGAAAGTGGTCTACCTGGATAAGATCATTCTTCCCTTCCTCAGTCTTGCCTTCAAGAAGAAATGACTTGAGATAATTTGACACTGGAGGTGAAATTAATTGATAACCAATGCTTAGTTCCCAATAACAACTTTCAAAAAAAGTGAATCATTATTGTGCCAATGTATCAAATAGCAGAATAATGCAGCAAATCTGCCCCTGCCTTTTTGAGAACTCCAGTTCTCAGGCAAATGTTCTGTTAATAACAACGTGCAGCTAATATGCAAACCTGTTGTTTCAAGGTGACATTTGTAATCAGCCATGAAATGCAGAAGAGATAGCATCAGTTTATTCTCTTTCTAAATACAAAATAAAGTCACTTGAGTTAGCTTAATGGTTCAAGCTGGAACTTGACGTGTTGTGAATTGAATTTTCTAAACTCTTAAGAAAATATCATTGAGAATGGAATACCTAGAAAAAAGTTTAGTGTGTGTGTGGGGGGAATATTTGCTAATGAAAGAATTTCTCAAAAATAATTTTGAAGTCTACAGGTATTTGTGTATTTCGTTTTTCACTCAGTAATGCTGCACCTTGCTACTTTCACTATGACAATAATTTGTGTTTTTTTTTTTGAACTTTGCAATATGTATTTCTGTTGTCTAAGATATAGTACGAGCTATAAATTATGCTTCTCCCTCATTACTAGGGAAGAAAGGAAAGATCCCTTGTCTGCCCTAGCAAGAGAATATGGAGGATCCAAAAGAAATGCCTTGCTGAAGTGGTGCCAGAAAAAAACAGAAGGCTATCAGGTAACTGCAGAGTTGTTTAACATAGCATACTTGAGGCTGCAACAAATTAGAAGCTGCCAATAGCATAAGCCAGCTTGTTCCACAGTTGACTGCATAGATTGCAATGGCACTGGTATGTACTGTACTCTTCTTGGAACACATGCTACAAGTCCTAACCTAACATTAATAGCTCCTTAGTCACTTTGCTCCACGTTGTTAATGATTTTTTTTTCTTAAGGGGGTAGCAGGCCTCTTATTGAGGCACTTCACAGCAGCCTTTTACAGATTGCACTTTGGAAACTGTAACTTTCAGCTACAGTTGGAACTTCAGCAATTTAAATGTTAATAGTCTCCCAAATGCAGGTATAGTAATGTTTCTTGGATTTTGGAGAGATTTATTGATAGGTGGTTAGTCTGGTTGTATTTGGATCTGTCAGTGTGCTCCCATTTAGCCTCTATTTAGGGACAGTTTGTTTTGCAAAGGTTGCATTGTCTTGCGTTTGTACTTGGCTTTCTAGTGCAGTTCCAGATTTTTTTCAATTGGTCCAAATGTTATCAGAACCCGAAAGAAGTAACAAGATAACTATCCAGAGTTCTCCTGATTACATTATTTTTTCAAAAGAATAGTGGCTTCAGCAAACTAAACCAGGATGTTAACAGTCTGACCGTGATGTATTTGTTTGGTTAACTTGTATTGAAAGTGGTTGGAATTCCCAACACAATCCTCAGTTTAAGAACTTTACTCTTTCCATGACTTGAGACTCACAATGCAGGAGGAAGTTCAGAGCCGCATAACAGGATGATCGCCCATCCATAGGAAAAGTCGTCTTTCAGTACAATGGAGACGCTTGTGGTATAATCCCTCCCCCCTCTTCCTCTGGCACGTCTAGTGCTAAACTGTGCTATTTCTGAGGATAAGCTTCTTTGTGGAAAGAGCCTTTCTCCTTCTCCGCATTTCAAAAAAGGCAGGATGTTATATTTCTGTATAAATCCTGTAAAACAGAATGCAAAAATATTTTCCCATAGTGTCTTGAAATGAAATAATAATTTGACAGCTTCCTTACCTGATTAGGAAAAGTAATAGGAAAAAAAAATCCAATTTTTTCATTCTATAGCTGTGTGCACGTACAAGAGTTTTCTTTGTGTAGATTGCTGTTTAAAACTACTCTTCCTGAACTTTATAGATGCTAGTAGAAGAATAGCTTTTGACACTTATTGTACTTGCTTCAACAACTGTAATATTGTTCACTGATTGTCGCTACTGGAAACCATAGCATGTAATGTCTGTAGAACTAATGTATGCCTTCTTTTGAAGGAGTAGGATAATACAAGGAGGTTACATGACGTTAGTTTTTGGAGAAGAATGTCTTCCACTTTAAGCATACTCATTTTTCATCTTTGTTGTAAAGAATTTAGCTTTTTTTCAGCATCACCTGAATTTCAGTTCTGATTGAAATCATGTAAGTGGTGTTCTAATGTTAAAAATACATCTAACATTGTATTCTTTCTGAATAGTGATTATCTAGCTTTTTGACATCTCAGAAACATTATCAATACCAGATCTATTTTTGGAAATAGAAGCTTTGCTGGGTTTTAATTTTGTGTTAAAAGTGTGGATTCAAAAGTGACAGGCAGTAAACAGGCATCAGAATAATGACCATGCCTCTTCCTCCTTTCCTCTCCCCCAGATATCGCCAGGGCACCTTTTCACACCTCCAGCTCCTCCTAGTGTCCTATACTCTGTGACAATCCCTTTTATACCCAGCATTTCCCATCGGTACCACCTCTGCCTTCCTCCTATGTCACTGGTTGCTTGTGTTTGGATTGCCGTCTGGGCAGGAGCCAGCACGTGCTTGTCAGGGCTACCTGCATGCTGGCTACCAGCCGGCACCTGTCTCTGAGCTGCCACGTGAGCCAGAGGGCACAGAGAAGTCCTCAATGTCCCTGTCTCTGTTCTCTAGGAAGAGCTGTAGGTCCAGATTCCAGCTAGTTATAAAAACAGTGTTACAGACCAAGCTTGCACCTATTTTACGTTTAACAAGTTCTAAAATGATCTGGAAGAGTTTCACCCTGATTTTGAGGGGAGGATGGGGATGCGAAAGGTGGGAGTAAAAAGGAGTCCTGAAAGGCTTTTGTTTCTGCATGCTATTAGTGGGACAAAATTGACAACAGAATTACTTCAATGGGTTTAATACATATTAGCAGTCTTACTAGATTGATAAGCAAAACTCAGCTTTGTAAGCCAATATTTGAGTTATGTCTTTGCACCCATGGAAAGATGTGTTTGTGTCTTCAGTAGTTACCAACTACAAACACTTCAGTTTTGTTTTCTCAGTCTCATCTGGAGACTCTCACAGGTGTAGTTTTGTATGCATACATGTATTTAAAATTGTATTACGCATCGTATTATGCACTGGATATTGGAAAACAGTTGAATAGGCTAACAAATAGTAATCAAATAGCCAGATATAAATCTTAATAAAAAAGAAAAAAAAGCTTAAAGTATACAGAGTTATGGGTGCGCTGCCAGTTGCTTAAAATTTTAAAAACAAGATGTGTTGTTGTTGGTTTACCCTTATTAATTAGCAGAAGCATATGATTAACTGTTATTCTCTTTGAAGACGAGCTGTAGTTCTTGAGCTGCTTTTTATTCCATTTCTTGAAAATCCTAATGGGGGGGGGGGGGGGGAACCATCCCAGGTCTGTACTGTTTCACAGACAGGTTTCCTGTATCCATAAGGTACTTTTGGAGAATACAGTATTTGGAGAATACTGGTTGCTTGCAGCGACCAGTATTTTTTTTGTCTGCTCAAATAAAAAGGAAGAATTACTTCTGCTCTCCTATCCCTCCAGGAAATTATTTTAAGCATTTAATCAGAAGTCTTAAGTATCTCTGTATTAGAAGCCTGAAATTTTGTGAACGCTAAATAATTCAAAGACAATAGCATTGTGGAGCTTTTATTTCAGCCCATTATAGTGGGAGGATTTTTTTTAAACTCTTCATACACGTTCACAGACTTTTATGCCAAACTTTACTTTCCAATTCTGACAAATACATAGTTCCACATAAGATTTTTTTTAAAGCAATTGTAATGTGTTCACAGAGGTGAGAAACTTAAGATTAAAAAAAAAAACAACAAACAACTAGTTCTTAACTCTGTTTAAAAATTATAATAAATTACTAAATTGTGCAGTTTTCTTGATATATTCAAGGAAATTTGGAAGGAAATTGGTATTAATAGAAAGTCTGTAGTCATGAAACAATATTTAACTGTATTTCCAAACCTAGCATTCTTTTGAGGAGTACCTCGATAAAATAAAAAAAGGTTAAAACAGCCAATGAGAATAAGAAGTTCTTCCTGATGAAAGAAACTGTATGACTTTCTCTGATATTGTTGTTTTTAATACCCATGCAGTCTGAATGCTGGTTGCAAGCAAGAATGCTCCTTGATGCTTTGCTTTGAGACTGGCAGTCTGCAGAAGGTCACTGCAGAGCTAACAGCAGGCAGGTTCCCTATCAACTTTTATCTAGAGGCTGTTCAGTCCAGGCAGCATTGCACTCACTAAGATAGTGTGAGTTTAATTCAGGACTCAACAGATCCCCAAGCCATGAAAGAGCGGAGTTGGTCTCTTAAGATAAGGTATGTGTGTGTGTGTTGTTTTTTTTAGCACATAGATAAAGGAGCAGCGAATCTCCCATTAGTTTTCAGACAAAGAGGGCACAGGATACTTGAAATGTGATTGTGTGTTAGCTTTACTCAGGGCCTGACATACTGATTCAGAGTTCAGTGCCAAGTGCTGCATTTTCCAGAGAGAAGAGAATCCTCCTGGCTCCTCTAAAATATGTGGAGTGTCATAAAACTGTCAGAAATTCCAGATATCTTCAAAGCACAACACAATCCCATCCAGCTGTTACAGAGCATTTACCCTAGCTGAAACACAGCTACTTTCATTTTGGGTACATAACTAATAAAAGTCCAAAAAAGGATGTGAGCATGCATGTTTCATGTTAAGAATGGGACCAATAAACAGGATACGCACATCCTTTACCCATTCTTATCTACAGCAATATTTCAATTTTTTTCCATTTTTGTCAGCATTCTGAGAGAGGATTCACTTCCAGAAGTCTAACACAAAAGAACAATTGTCACAAGGTTGCTGCAAGAATATACAAAAAAAAAATCGCTTTCTTTAAGTTTTCCATGCCTTCTAATGACAGATGCACTGAAAGATATCCATAAGGTAGCCTTGAAGTACCTTTCCTTTAATGATGGAAATGATGCCTTTTCTGGGAAGACCTCCTATCTTTTGGTACCTGTACAGATCAAATCATGTCTTAAAAAAAAAAAAAAAAAAAAGCCACGCTTTTTATCCACGTGGCAGCAATAAAAAAAAAAAAAGCTAAATTTTGTATTTTAAATACTCTGGTGACATACAGAATTCGGTGACACTACTGTACTTGGTCACAGTAGGATAATTACCTGTTGAAATGATTGTGTGCACTGAGTACGTCTGATTTGAGCCCTTATTAAAAAATGGTTGTTTGATCTGGAAGGTATCAAATTATTTATAGACTAGCAGTATTAAAGACTCCATTATGATCAGTCAACATGTTAGGATTCGGGCATTTCTTGGTCACTTTTAAAATGAATCTGGCTGTGTAGGAGGGTATGAGTTTGACTTTCCAGAGGCAGTTGCTGTGGGACCAAATTAAGGTAGTTTGGGTCAATTATGTTAGAAATGGGGCTTTAACTCAGTTAACTCAGTGTTCTTGGGCTTTATTGCTGTAGCAGACTATGTAACATGAAATTGCTGATATGTATCTGTAGTTGTAAATTATTTTATTTTTTTTTGAACTGGAAACTTCATTTTTAAAATCAAGTTTCATCCCTGCCCATGGCAGGAGGGGTTGGAACTATATAATCTTTAATCCCTTCTAACTCAAACCATTCTCTGATTCTATGAAAATAAGTCCAATATTTGCTTTGGAAAGAGCAATGTCTCTGTAAACCTGGAGAAGT